TTTCGCCACCTCCTCCATGTGTGACCCCCTTTCCGTTCTGCCCTTTGTTCTTCCCTTTCTTTCTGTCCCTTTTCATTTCCATTTTCTTTCTTTCTTTCTTTTTTCCTTTCTTTCTTTCTTCCTTCTTTTCTTTCTTTCTTTTTTCTTTCTTTCGGCCCGTCTTTCTTTTTCTTCTTCGGCATCTTTGTTTTCCATTTTATCCTTCCTTTAACCCTGGTTTGATGTGAAGTTTTCAAATTTAATTATTATAATAACATTTTTCCTTCCTTTTCTCGACATTCATTCCCGTGTTATTCACATCGTCCCCAAACATTGACATTGCTCTAGAATATGAACAAAAACTGCTTTCGTGTGTTTGCGAAAGGTAAACATATGAAGGAAAACTAACTTAAAACCCTGGCAAATACCAGACAAATAAGTGTTGAACCCCGTCAGACTCTTCGCCCCCAGCCCATTCAAATCTGTTCTTCCAATAATGCATGTCTTTTTCATGCCGCGTTACACGTCTTTTCACACCGTGGGTTATGCAAAAAGTACGTGAAACACGAAGCTAAAGTAAACGAAAAAAACTTTGGTATCAAAACGTGTAGATAAGAAGAGAGGTAAAAAGAATGTGTATTTAGCCCAGAGATGAACAGACTTGATTGAGAAACGAAAGTTTGAGTGATGGAGTCATCGAGTCAGAGCACACACGTATGTTATGCATCGGCTTAGTGTGAACAAGGATTACCTTACCTCTGAAATAAAGTAAGATTTGAGAGCATTCGAAAACGGTAGGACTCTAAAAAAAAAGTAACTGCGTGACCAGTGCAGTGATCATGGTGTGTCATTCGTTTATTGTTTTTGTAAAGAGTTTCATGGCACTTGCAACGACACAATTATTTAACAAGTGCCGAAGATTAGAGGTTTTACAAAAGAGTAACATACAAAGACAAAAAGGAGGATGTATGTTTGATAAGAAATAAAAAAAATGCAAAACACCAGAGCACCCGCCAACGACCCACATGGTGTGTTGCGGGGGAGGCATCTGCTGACTTTCGGGAAGACAAACTGTCAGACAGACAGGCAGACAGACACAAAGGCAGACAGACACAAAGGCACACAGACTTGTTTAGTTTGGATAAAGAGAAGCACATCGACAAGATAACAGCCCCTTGTTAGAGCAAGGAAAGAAGCAATACAATCAGACAACACAGGGTAAGAAAAGCAGCAGGGCCTACCAGTGGCGCCCTCCAGCCGTTCGCACACAGACGTGTAGATATACACAAACAGAAAGGCAGACAAAGAAAGAAGGAAGGGTTGAAGAAAAAGAAAACAGACAGGGGAGACAGACAGACGTTAGCAATAAAAGGATAAAGGCAGAAAAAAATGTACATGTATTTGACTGTGTTCAGACAAAACAAGGACACAAAGATGCCCACGAGGGGCTAGAAACATTAGAAAGTGTTAAGTTCGGTAAGAGTTTTACGCCACTTGCAACACAAATTGGTCATATAAATGCCGTTCAGATACTAGAAGTGTTACTAGTTACTTGAGAGTAGCATAACGATGAAGGGGGAGATATAATAAGGCTGACAGATGCTTTACAAGAAAAAAAGAGCAAATCACACCAAGACACCCATCAACCACCCAGCATTAAAAAGAGAAGTGAACTATGATTACAGCTGAACTGTGGAGACAAGCCTCACCCCCTCCCCCTAAGCCTAAATTGATGTAGACAGACACATTCTCCCCCTTCTCTCTCTCTCTCTCTCTCTCTCTCTCTCTCTCTCTCTCTCTCTCTCTCTCGCTCTATGTCCCTCTCTCCCCTCTCTCTCACCTTCTCTTTCTGACACCCAAAAATATACACAACCGCATGAATATCTCTCTTACTCCATCAACACACATTGATAGACAGAGAAAACAGAAAAGAAGAGAAGAAAGGGAGAGAGAGAGAGAGAGAGAGAGAGAGAGAGAGAGAGAGAGAGCAAGATATGCAACAAATTACAGAAAGAGAATAAAATGGGTACGATAAGATGGCAATCAAAAAGACTTGGCAAACGTACGCCCTTGACTATCAACACAGCAAGCTCTCTGACATCAACACCATCAATCAACACAAAACGTCAACACTGCAAGCTTACAGATATCAAACATTATCAGACAACGCAAACATAACAACAAACTCGTAGATATCAAACATCAAAACACGTCCACAAATATCAATCATCATGGGTCAACACAAAACGTCATCAAACACTCGACGTGCCCTTTGTTTGTTTGCTTGTTTGAGGAAAGAGAAGCACATCGACACAATAATGGTCATTTAGAGCTGGGAAGAAATAAGACAGACTTACATAAACAATAGGAGGAGAGTAAAGAAGCAGGGCCTACTTTACTTTTACTTTTTATTTTTCACGATCCAACGGCTATCTGAATTCTAGCCTTCCGGCCTGTCGATATGGCAAAGGCTTTACAGGTTTTTATCAGCTGCGATGTGGTGAAATGGCATAGGTTTAATACCCTATTGGGTTATTTAAGAGGTCGAACCTCTGAGTTTAACATTCATCTCCACAAGAACCAAGCCTATTTGGGAAACTCGTGTAAAGTGCCTTTCCAAAGGACACAAGGTCGGACCGAGCAGTTTATCAGCTGCGTTATACCGACTAATTAGGACGTACCAGTGGCGTCGGTGGTTGGCAGGTGCTCTGAGGTGGTTTGCTTCTTCTTTCCTATCAAACATCTATCGTCTCTATCTCCCCATTCTTCTTTTTTTTGGGTTGTTACTCTCTTGTAACACCTCTAATCTTCGCCACTTATATGGCCTTATTGTGTGGCAAGCGCCGTAAAACACTTACTAAAACAAACAATACAACAAAAAAGTATCAGTTGCGCCCTCCAACCACCCGGCGACGTACCAGTGGCACCCTCCAACCACCCGGCGACGTACCAGTGGAGCCCTCCAACCACCCGGCGACTTACCCTGGGCAGATCCCTGATCTGGTTGGAGTCTGCGTAGAGCTCCTCCAGAGTCCTCTCCACGTTGAACACCTCGCTGGGTACATCGTGCAGGCTAGAGTGTCGGTAGTCCAACACACGGACCTCCTCCTCGATCTTTGGACGCAGGCACGGGCACTTCTTTACGATGCCCGCCATGCTCTGCACAGGGTGCGCCTGGATAAATAAATAAATAAATAAATAAACCAAGAAAGACAGATAGATAGAAAGAGAGAAAGAGATGAATAAAAGAAAGAAATAAACAATTAAGTAAAAAAGAAAGAAACAATTAAGTAAAAAGGAAAGAAACTAAGAAAAATTCAAAGAATGAAAGAAAGAAAGAAAAAATGAAATAAAGGAAATGGCACTTTATTAGTCCAGGTGGGGAAATTTGAATTATAATGACAAACAAACAAACATATATACATTTTCATGAAACGGTACCAAATGCTCATTATCACACCAATAGAGAACAATTTTACGAACATCCATTGCTGGTCAAAACTGTGCCTGTTTTTCTTTTTTAGCTTGGATGCTCGTGTCTCGCTCAAGGACACAACCAGTGGACACGCATCTAAACCCGCAAGTAAAGGAAGAAATACTTTTTTAAAGTTTGAGTAAGACTTTTAACGGCATAAGCAACGCCAGAAGGTAATAAAAATGCCGAATATTAGAGGAATTACGAGCCAGTCAGTAACATACAAACAAAAGATGGAGGAGAGATAAAGACGACAGATGCATGATAAAGCTGAAAGACCTAACCACACTAAAATGCCCGTTAAAACACCCAAGGGATACAGCATCCAGCAGTATAAGCCAGGTACTCGATATAAATTCACCCCACGCTGAAATCGAACCCGGGTCTCCTGCGCCCGACAGTGAAACGCCAAACCGCTTCATCCCTGACGCTGGTCCTCTCATGTCACATCAGCTCTCTGGCTCTCTCTCTCTCTTT